AACAATTTGGTTTTTTGGTACTATATATCAAGTACCTTATGTTCATACCAATAATGGTTTTATTGAGTCTCTTATTGAGAATCAAATTGCATGACATATTAAAATAGAATTGTAATTTATCAGAACTAAGTTGTTTTTATGCGGCCTTACACACCGCATCGTTAATAAAAATTCATCAAGCTGCACTTAAACAACTTCCTCCGTTGCAGTATGTACGTGAAACTTTGGCCGTAGCCAAACATTTCTCATCTGCGCATCGAGTATGTTTTCACATACCCATATCACCACCCCAACATACCAATGGGCATTAGGGATCCCAAGAGGTAACTCTATAGGGGATTTATAAATTGCCCGTATGTTGATCACATTTGAGGATAATTCTAGGCATTAGGGGGAGATTTATACCACATTAAGAATGCCAGGAATCAAAAGAGCAATCCTCACATCACGTACCAAAAATTCTAAACCTAATCGTTTAGAATATCTTATATTTGCATTATATTGCAAAGAATCTGCCAGAAATATTTACTGATAATAAGGGTGTCTCAAAATCCTCTTGTCCTACTTATAATGCGCCCAAAAGAATGGAGATACCAATTAAAACCATTCAACTCCCACTTTCAAAGAAGAGGGAAGAAGTACGGCCGCTCCTAAGGATAATGCTCCAAGTAAGCGTCCGAGGATACCGAGGACAATATCCTCCAAATCAGTAAATCCAAGCCAACCTCAAGTTGGTAGACACCCAAAATGGATGAGCATCCAAAACCCGGATCAACGATGCACCCAAATTCTGATCTTAGGATATTGGAACACCCTGACTCCATATGGGAAATAACTCGGAGTCCAAAAGGGTTAACATTTCACATGCTATATTGATTTTAAGAACCGAATCAATCATTTAAAGACTACAAATTATAACGGCGTATACTTCTCAACGATTGTTTTTTTACCTTCCTAGATCCACATCAAAAGTCCTAGGCAGAGTGTCTTCACACTCAAATTTAGTCAAACTAAAAGGTGGCAATTAAGAAGATTGCTCTTGTTCAATGATGAGAAGTATTACCATAGTAATATCTTCCCTCACAGAGTTTCTTTTCAGAAGGAAGGTGGTGAACAATGAGAGCTTGTAGCATATGGTTTCACGCAGAGACCCAGCATAGCATACCTCATGGTATGTATAAAAATGAAGTTTTTCAAATTCAATAATTGGCAGATGAAATAAATTTGATAGATTTGGATGTATAAGTCCCAATGGACTTCACATTCTGAATCCAAAATACAAATCGCAACATACATTATGTATAATTAAGTATGATTGCATATATTGGTTATTTTGATATCATCATGATACGAAAATAATTATGCAATCATTTGAGATACACAGCCTGTTCGGTTGGCTGGTTCGTTTCGTTGCTGGTTCGTGAAAAAGTACTGCTGGCTGGTTTGTGTGAGAGAAAAATGTTGTTCCGGCTAGAAATTTACGATCGTTTACGACAAGCCACAGCCAAACGAACAGGCTCACAATTTCCATCATGTGGATTCGAGATGGAGGATTTGGATAAGACCAAATATTGCCTAGGCTTACAACTTGAGCACCGTCATTCAGGGATTTTAATGCATCAATCAGCCTATATCCAGAAAATATTAAAGAAAAGATATTGGGACCAATGTTTCATATCTTAGTGTTATTGGAGCACTTATGTATCTTACAAATTGCATCAGGCCTGATATCACATTTGCAGTGAACATACTAGTTAGACATAGTGCAAATCCAATTCATCGTCATTAGATGAGAGCGAAGCATATCCTCAGATATCTTAATGGAACAAAGGATTTTGATTTATTCTTTAAGAGAAATCATGATCCCAATATGATTGGATATATGGATGCTGGTTACTTACCTGGTCCCCATCCCAAATTGGATTTGTATTCTTATATGGAGGTACAGCTATTTCATGAAGTCTTCTAAACAGACTCTGACGGCGACCTCTACTAATCATTCTGAAATTATTGCTCTATACGAGGCATCACATAAATGTGTATGACTTTGCAGAATGATTAACCACATACAACAGGCATGTGGTATTGGTTCAATTAAATCACCTACAATTATCTATGAAGATAATTTCGCTTATGTTACATAGATGCAAACATGTTACATAAAGAGTAATGTCGTTAAAGACATTGCCCCTAAGCTGTTTTATCCCCATAAGTTATAAGAAAGCGGGGAAATAAACATCTTGCAAATCCAGTCATGTCATAATCTCACTGACCTATTTACTAAGTCCTTACCAACTTTTGTATTTCAAAAAAATTGGTACATGGAATTGGTATGCAGCGACTTCAAGATTTGCCAGATTCAGGGAAAGACATCTCCTAAATGTTGACTTGTGCCAGCATCATATTATACTCTTTTCTTTCACAAGTTTTACTTACAAGGTTTCTTGTTAAAGTTTTTAATGAGGTAATATTAACATAAGCATGTGTCATATTTCCTATTTTTCACACCGGGATTTTTGTGGGAAATATCAAAGACACATATTGCCCTCACAACCCATCCATGGTTTTTTTTCCTGAAAAAGGTTTTTCATGTAAGTTATCCCAGAGGCAATACTAATAATGTCATATTTTCTCCTAATTTTCTCACTGGGTTTTTACAAGAGTTTTAGCGACATATCATTTTATATTGCTCCTCATATTTTTCCTGAAAGATTTTTGGGGGAGTTATCTTTATGTCGTATCTCCAATATTTTTCTCCATTGGAGTTTTTAATGGGATACCAATGACATAGTGGTTTATTTAAATCACAAATAATATGCTATTTTCTCCTTATTTTTCAATAAGGTTTAAAGAAGTTTTTATAGCATATCATGCATTCCTCACATTATTTTCATAGGGTTTTTTCGAGGAATTTCAGCTTACAGCTGCATTGATCTCAAGGAAGATTCGATCAAGGGGGAGTGTTGTGAAATGGTACCTATACGTGAACGGACGTCTACAGATGAACAAGTGTCTCTTCACGAGTGATCTCATCCATCAAGCACATAATTAGTGGATATGATTAGACAGTTAATTTTAGTTTCAAAGGGCATGTCTTTTGGAAACAGTCGTGTTCCTTCGTGATACCCCTCCACTTATATAAATATATTTCTGACATCAATGAAAGCAAGAGTTCTTCCACGTCTTGTTCATTTACGTTCACTTCTAACGCAATTAAATGATGACAAAACGAGTTCAACCATTGCGGCCGCAAGAGAGTAGTACCGGTCAAATATGAACAGGGTCTGGATCAGATTTCAGATGAGGTGTTCCCGCACAGTCGTTGCAGTAGCTGTCCTTGTCCATACATGGCTGCGGACCGGAAGGATTTGGTTTTCCAGTTCCTGGTCGATGAACGGTAAGTAGGTCAATTTTGAGTCAACTACTGCCCAATCCACTCCAACTTAATGTGGGGCGTGTTCGGCTGAGCAAGATTGGTTGGCTGGTTCTTTTTTTTTTCAGCCGGAGCAGTGTTTTTCTCTCACAAAATTGCAGCATGAACAGTGCGGAATTAATACCAGCCGAACATGATTAAATTGTTGACCCAAAAAAAGATACTGGGTTTTGTGGTTACCCAAAAGGCATGAAAACGATTAAATTGTTGTACATATTTACTCTACTGCTGAGCACCACTGATAATTAAGAATAATGTAGAGGAGGTTGTAAGTTGACGCGGAATGAATCAATGTTGATCTCTAGATTGTGTACACCAAATAAATCCTGCAAGACTGAACTGAAGATTCAGACAGAAGAAGCCACTCTGAAATTCAGTTTGCAAGATAATTGAAGTGACATTTTCAGTAAAGTGCCAAATACATGTTGATCTGCAAGACTGAACTGAAGATTCAGACAGAAGAAGCCACTCTGAAATTCATTTTGCAAGATAATTGAAGTGACATTTTCAGTAAGTGCCAAATACATGTTGATAAACTACACTGGGGCCATCTCTAAGGTCAATTCTTAAGCATAAATTGGGCTCACTTGAGATCCCAGTACATAGGATGAGGGCAGTCCTTGATGCAAACTTCCGTCTTGAACAGTCAAGAAATTGCATATATCCATAGAAGATAAGTGATACAGTATTCATCATCATCATCATTCCTAAATCTGTAATCTACACGAACATATAGCAATTGACCAAGAATGTCAGTGACATGAGCTAGCTTTCCAGAACGCCAATAGGAATGGCTGCATTGGTCTGTCCATAAACAATATGTATTATATATACACCTTTTCTAAATGTGACGCAACAAATTGTTTTACAACCTTTTAATGGTTTTTTATGTGTTATGAATTCGAATGTATAGATTGTACTTCCAATCAGTGGCGGAGCCACCCAGGGCAGCTGCCCATGCTCGTCATCGGCAGGCCAAGGTGGATCTTGGCGGCAAGCTCTACATATTAGCAGCGAGGACGTGAAGTCCTCCTTAGGATTGCCCAGGCTGTACAAACTTTTTCGAGAGAATTCTTTATTTGACACTGGAAAAATGAGTCGTTCCTTTCTTGGTCCTAAAATTTTCTTCGTTCCCTATTTGACACTCACTTCAACTTTCATCTCTAATTTGACACTACCGTCAAATCCGTTAGCTAACGGTGTTAACTGGCTGTTAAAAAGACGTTTTTGCCCCTAGACGCATGTAGAGGCGCTGTTGCATGCATGCATCGCTGGCTGGTCTTTTTTTGCAGCTGGGCGCATGCATCAGAGGCGGGCGCAGGTTTTTTTTCCTCTCAAATTTGCTTCGCCGGTTTTTTTTTCAGGGGCAAAAATGTCTTTTTAACAGTCAGTTAACACCGTTAGCTAACGGATTTGACGGTAGTGTCAAATTAGTGATGAAAGTTGAAGTGAGTGTCAAATAGGGAATGAAGAAAATTTCAGGGTAAAAAAAGGAACGACTTATTTTTCCAGTGTCAAATAAGGAATTCTCTCAACTTTTTCTGGCTCTGCCAGACTTGCCACTTCTTCAAATCATTTGCTTTTGAGTTGGATTGTGGAAGATAGTTGAAAGGGAGGTCTCTCCTGAGTCTCGGCAGAACAATCCAAGTTCAGATGAAAAATGAGGCGGCACCGAGGGATACGAAAGCAATGGTTTCGGGGGCATTTCCAATTCATCTAGGTTCTTCTCCAACATTTCTATAACCCTGCTCATGGATGGACGATTCTCTGGAGTCGTTTGTATGCACCACAAGCCAACAAGGGTCATCTGTTTTGCAATCTCTTCTGTCTTGCATGTGACTTCATGGCTTTGTAAATCTTTAACCAAACGGTCATGAACCCAGTTTGGAAAATATTGTTGACTAGAATTCTCAGTGTCTTCTGTAAGATTCTTCCTTCCTCCTGCCATTTCTAACAACATCATTCCGTAGCTGTATACGTCTGACTTGGTGGACACAACTCCATAACCCCTTGAAAATACTTCTGGAGCAATAAAACCGATGGTACCTCTTGCTTCAGCCATTGAGAGGGCACTGTCCTTAAGATGACACAGTTTTGCCAATCCAAAATCTGCTATTTTGGGACAAAAGTCTTCATCTAGAAGTATGTTATTTGGCTTGATATCAAAATGGATGATCCGTGTATTACAGCCCCGATGCAAATATTCCAAGCCTCGCGCAATTCCTGTTGCTATTTCTCGCAACTTTTCCCATCCAATGGCCCTTTTTGTTTCTTCTGATTGTATATACTTCTCCAATGAACCATTAGCCATGTATTCGTAAATAAGTGCTCTCTTAGGTCCATGTAAACAAAAACCAAGTAAATTGACAATATTTACATGAGATGTCCTACGGATACTCGCAACCTCATTCACGAACTCCTCTCCATTTCCTTTTGATCCTTTCAGTAGTTTCACAGCAACCTTCCGGCCATCTTCTAAATTCCCCTTAAATACCGTGCCATAGCCGCCTTCTCCTAACTTATCATTGAAAGATCCGGTTATCTTCTTTACCTCTGAGTATTTGTACCTTTTTGGGACGAGAGAATCATATCCTTTTAGTATTTCCTCTATATTTGATTCATAGCTTTTGCAATTTTGGTTGGATGTAACGTGCTTTTCCTTTCTCTTCTTGCGGTACATTACCCAAACAAGGCAAGTAAGAATCAAGCTGGCTGTAGAGGACAAGACAACTGAAACAGGATATATCAAACTATTACACACCAATTTGTATTGGCAAAACGCAAATGTTTGTTTTATCAACATTACAATGATAAGATGCACCACACATTCTTATGTTTGGTTATCTTATTTGTTAATAGCATCAATACTAATTTCTTTGTTCTGAAATAATAAGTGTATTTTGATCAAGGAAATATCAACTCATTAGATTTTGACCCTTAGTTTCTCTTACTATGGCCCCGTTCGGCTTACCCACAAAACGGCACTATTCAACTTGTTTTTTCAGCCAGAACAGTATTTTTCTCTCACAAGAATTCAGTCATAACAGTGTTTTCAGTCAGTTTCAGCCACAATTCAGCAAGCCGAACGGGGCCATGTTATCATTTGTTAAAGAACCAATAGTTATCTCCGAGTCATTTTGAACACAAATCTATTGATACAAGTTTTATATCATAGACTTGACTAATTGTTGGTCAAAGTTTGTAATTTGACTTTGCCCTGTACAAACTACATTTATCATTCTGGGACAGAGAAAGTAAACAATAATCAAGAAATATATATGGAAATGAAATAGTGCTGTAGCAAAAAGGAACGCAGCAGTGATAACATGCTCAAATAAATTGATCTGTTAAAAAAAACATACCTATTAAAATTAACTTCAAATTCTGTTTCTTCTTTGCATCTGCTACAAAAATTATAGAATAGTATCAAACCATTGAGAAGGACATAAAAACATTTGAACAGAGTTTTTTTTTCTTTTTGAGGAAAAAAGCTAAGTTAATTATTTTTTATTATATTGAGGAAATGTAATGTTAACAATAGTTACAACAGTGATAAACTGATAATATAAAAAACATGTTCTTTTTTCATTCAACGTCGACTGCTATTTGACATAATCTCTTGGAATTCATATTTTATTCCTCATAATTTTAGATTTATTACTTTGGTGTCTTAAATCTCACCGGATAATACCATTAAAATACTATTGTCTTTGCTTAAAATTGTTGCTGCTCAAATGGTTCTCTTGACTAATGATATATCATTTCTCTATGTTTTTAATTGTATGAGGGAGAGAATCATATGTTTCTTTTACACAGAGAGGTTCCTCTAAAGTCTAAATAGCATCATTGACACACTTGGACAAGTATCCCAGTTGCTGAAAGCTCGCAGATATTGCCTTGGGAGTGCTAATGTGGACATAATTTGGAAGCTAGGAGTACTTCTTAAGTTGACAAGTACAGTCTAAGTTTTTTTCCGCACACCCACTTCTAAAATGTACTAATGAATTATCCCACTGTTTCAAATTATATATCAGTTTTGGATTTATGCAACTACATATTGGTTACATCTAGATACATAATAAAACTAGAATAAATTTCACTAGCGGTCCTTAAACTTATCCTGACTTCGCATCCACGTCCCGATACTTACAAATAGCAAGTTTGGCTCCCTAAACTTATACTGAGTTCTCATCCTGATCGTGGTACTTACAAATTGCATGTTCGGACCTAAACTTATGTCGAGTTCTTATCCTAGTCCTAATACTTGCTTTGCACACTCAACTCCCTAAATTTGCATAATTGTACCATTCTAGTTCATCCACCCCTGCACCTTACTGTCCTCGCCCCTACCACACCGCACACGCCCGCCTCATCCATGCAATCGTGTTGCGCTGCCACACTCATTAAACTTACTGGTACATAGGTACGAGGAACAGGGTACGTGAGACGTGGATCGTCAATTTTAAGTTCCCGGTTCATACGGGGTATACCTCTTTGGGACGTTTGGTTCGAGGATGAGATCATGATCCTTAGATAATTAGGACGACGTACCCGGAACGTAGCTATGGAACGAGGATCGTGATCCGGGTACATTTGGGTTGATATAAATGGAACGTAACTATGGGACGAGGATCGTAATCCCAGATTTTAGGTCGATAAATATATTATATAAGTCTAAATTCGACATGCATAAAGATAAAATTATATGCTAATTATTGATTAAAACTTCAAATAGACCGCGCCATTTGCCGTGACCACATGTCCACGCTCCACATGAACTACTGATAGGTTGGGAAAGAACTCTCGCTGCCACTGCTACCAAATTTGGGGCCTGGGCACCATAGGTGAACCACCATTTAATTGGTTCCATGTGTCCGCATCAAGTTTAACAGCAGGATGTGCAAACATTTCCCTCCTCATAACAAAATCATTAGATTGCTTACGTAAGATTGCATACTCACGGTCTGAATCTGCTATTCGACGTAAAGCTTCCATTACCCTTTCCATACCTCTAAATCTTCATTTGGTGGTTTCCTTGGAATGCTCCAAGGAGCTTCTTTTTCAAGATATACTCTATCATAGAATTGTGGAGAGAGAGCATAAGCAAGACACTCAAGTGGAGTATTCATCTTATCCCATCGTGAAAAATTATATCTTCTATTTCTGAATAGTCATTTTTGTGCGGGTTATCATCTTTATCCATAATGTCTTTGATCTTTCCAACCATGTTGTCTATTCTCTCGTAGATTTCTCCTATTTTTGGACCTTCTCTATCACAAAATTTTATTACTGAGAAAATGGGCTCTGTGATGCCTAGGACAGTTTCCACCTCATTTCAGAAGTTGTCATCATTGATTGTTTTAAAAATAGCCTTGGTTTGCATATTCTGATCTTTGCTGCAACCTTTCATCCAATCTTTCTGTTGCTTGGTGACTATAGTGGTAGCAAGTGCTTCTTTGCAAGTAATCAACCTGTTCAACATATTGTAATTTGAAGCAAATCGAGTCTGTCCCACCGATTTTTGTAACGAAAAGACTGTGGAATATATTGAATGGAACACCAATTAGCAACCATGCACTTGATTTGCTTCAAATTACATAATGTTGGGCAGGTTGATTACTTGCAGAGAAGCACCTGCCACCACTGTAGTCACCTAGCAATGCAAAGTTTGGATGAAAGGTTGCGGCAATGATCAGAATATGCAAACCAAGGCTATTGTTAAAGCAATTAATGATGACAACTTCTAGAATGAGGTGGAAACTGTCCTAGCCATCACAGAGCCCATTTTCTCAGTGCTGGAATTGTGTGATGGAGAAGGTCCAGAAATAGGAGAAATCTATGAGAGAATGGACAACATGGTTGAAAAGATCAAAGACATTATGGATAAAGATGATAACATGCACAAAAATGACTATTGAGAAATAAAATATAGAATTTTTTCACCCTGGGAAAAGATGAATACTCTGCTTCAGTGTCTTGCTTATGCTCTCTCCACGGTTCTATCTTGAAAACGAAGCTCATGGGGGCATTCCAAGGAAACCGCCAAATGAAGATCTAGAGGTTATGGAAGGGGTAAAGGAAACTTTACGTCGAATAGCAGATTCAGACTGTGAGTATGCAAATCTTACGCCAACAATTTATAGGAAGGGCAACAAATTGATTCCATCCTGGCGGAGTGGCGGCTACTTCCTGCGCGCAACCTTGGGTAGAGAGGATGGGGTCTCCACCTCCCTCCCCCCACCCCCAGCCCATCCTGCCGGAAGCCGCCGCGGCGCCGACAGCCACCCCTCCCCCAGCCACTGCCACCAATGCCGGTAAGGCCCCCTTCTCCCTTTCCCCTGACGCTGCTCCCTACTTCCCCTCCGCTGGAAGATCAAAGAGCATGCGCTGGGAAGAGGAGTCCCTCTCGTTCTCGCATGACTCCAACGAGGAACGCTCGCCCTCCCCGTACCTGGTAGCAGCTCGATGGGCTCTCTCGTCGGCCCCCCGTGTGGAGTCCACTCCCCCGCCTCCGCCAGCGCCCCCTGCTGCAGCGACGGAAGGGACCTCGGGCACCGACAAGGCAAAGCGCCGCCGCCCGCGGCGCTATCGGCAGCGAGAGCAGCGTGCACCACAGGTGGAGGAGCAGGGCCCAGCGACACGTCGTGCTGCTGCCGACCAGCGCCAGGAGCCACGTCGCGCGCCCACCCAGCAACACCTGCCTTCACGTCGCGCAACCGATGAGCAGCGCCTGCCTCCTCGCCGCGCTCTGGACGAGCAGCGCCATCCTCCATGTTGCGCTCTGGATTAGCACCGCCGGCCGCCCCATCGCGCTTCCGACGTGCAGCGCCAGGCCACGCGTTGCTCGGCCATCATCGTCCTGCACCCACCACGCTTGGCCTCTCCTGTCGACGGCGACGGCTTCCACGTCGTTGAGAGCAGACGACGCTGGCGCCGCCGTCCGGCTTTCCAAGCCGCTGGCCCAAGACCTGTCCTTCCAGAGTTGGTAGGCTAGTGCTTTAACTGGCTGGCCTCCGACCATGTCGCTGCGCAGTGCCGCTCACCGTCGCGCTGCCTCAACTGCCGCGGCACCGGTCACCGTGCGCGCGCGTGCAAGCGGGGTCGTTCACCGCAGCGCGTGGGTTCCAGAGGCGCACCCAGGCAGTAGCCTCGTCCAGGCTCATCGTCCTCCTCCAGCACCGCCTCTGGTAACGATTGCTCCATTGGGCGCGAGACGTCGGTGCCATGAACCTGTAAAAGCCCGTCTCTTTCGCCGACACGTCACACTCAGTAGGCGCCTCCGGTGAACTCGTCGCAGCCTACACCAACTCATCCTGCGGGTGTCATCGTCATCCCCCGTTCAGCAGAGGTCGTAGAGGCGGAGGCGGCTCTGTCGCTTGCGCTCGTTGCTGTCGTCGGCGGGAATCGGCCGCCCATGTCTCCGGCTCAGGTCCGGGCTCAGTTGGAGGATGTCTACAACATTCCCCAGCGTCGTTCGTTGTCAGTCGATTTGCACCAGAAGACTTCTTGGTGCGCTTCCAGACTAGGGAGGATCTGTAAGACATGCTCCACTCGCCCACGCCGCTCGCCACAGCCTTCAAGCTCATCTGGAAGCATTGGCTTCGGGAAGCGATGGCGTCGGCTGATTCCTTCCGCTTCAGGGTTTTCGTCTGAATCTCTAGGCTGTTGGCGCATGCCTGGAACCTAGACACGGCGCAGCGTATCCTTGGCTACTCCTGCGCGGGCTTAGAGTTAGCGACATCGACGGTGAACCAAGAGGACATGTCCGAGTTCTTTGTCGCAGCCTGATGCCTTTGTTAGTTAATCTCCACCAATAGGGCCCCTGTTGCACAGCACTATAAATAGAGGAGTGGAGAACTGGGCTCGACGAACGAAGTTGACCGGAGCCGCCGCAATCCCACCACAGAGAAACCTAATCCAATCTAAAGGAGTGCTGCCAGCGATGGGATGCCCCACCGCACCGCCATCGCCCTTGCAGCGTCACCACCGGTCCATTGCATCGCCACCACGACGCCAACAACCCCACGGTACCGGCGTCTACCCTGCTGCGGTGCAACTACGTAAAGGCGAGGAGGCTTACCCCGGATCTACGGTTACAGAGGTACACTGTGATCTAACAATGGTATCGGAGCCGGTTTACAGTATGGGGTAGAGCATAGAAAATAAAGAACAAGGGTTAAATCCGTTTCGGATTGAAACCCTAACTGGGTAAAAGAAAAGAGAAGAAAGACCGGGGGGTGGCGGACGTCAGTAAACTCCCAGTCACCACTGCCACCGCACGGGGAAAGTTGCCACACCGCCGTCTTCGTCGGCGCACGGCAAGAAAAGAACAGTCCTCTGTTCGGATCTGAGAAGAAAATCCAGAAAAGGATCCAAAAGAAAAGAAGGGGAAAAGAGAAAG